ATTAAACGAGGCCATATTCAGGGAAAAACGGTATTAGGCAACTCTGGTTTTGTTTTTTTTGACATGGGGTCTTGTTACGTAGTTCAGGCTGACCTCAAGTTTGAGGGGGTCTTCCTGCCTCAGCCTCCTCAGTGCTGGGAGCACAGGCTTGTGCCACCATGCCTGGATCTTGAGGCAGTGTCGCTGTCCTGGGACCCCAGAAGTGTGCTTACCACCTGTGTGTGTGGCCTGGTCCACCCCAGGCTGTGCTGTGTATGCCAGTGGTGGGGAGTGCAGCGTGGTGACCCCAGGCTGAGGGATGGAGCAGAGACCAAATCTGGTCGGGGGGGGGAAGGGTGAGGCAGAGCTGCAGGGGCTGGCACCAGGCTCGCTGTGGTACAGGGCCACTTTGTACTGTTGCTACCAGCACAGCGCATTTTTATTAAAGCAACCAAAGCAAGCTCATAGAAGAGAAAAACATCAAGATACTGACAGAGCCATGCGTGGTGGCACATGTCTGTCATCTCAGCAGAGGAGGGTGAGGCAGGAGGACCACTGCCAGTTCGAGGCCAGCCTGGGCTACAAAGTGAGTTCAAGGGCAGCCTGAAATGCATAGTGAAACCCTGTCTCAAAAAGACAAAAAAGAAAAAAAAAGATATTGATAGAGTACAAAAAGAGACTGTTCTGCTGGATGCATCTTGTAGCTTGGGAGGATTTTTGTTTTGTTTTGTTTTGCTTTGTTTGGTGCCGGGGATTGAACTCGGGTTCTTGTGCTAAAGGAGAGGTTGCACGTTTTTTTTTTTTTTTTTGGTACCGAGTCTTTTTTTTTTTTTGAGACAAGGTCCTGCTATGTAGCCCAAGCTGGCCTCGAACTTGTGGCATTCTGCCTGCCTCAGCCTCCCAAGTGCTGGGACTACAGGTGTGTGCCAACCTGCCTTGCCGAGAGCATTTATTTTTAAATTTTTGTTGTTGTTTTGGGACAGAGTCTCACTATGTAGTTCAGGGTGGACTTGAACTCACATTTTGGCCTAGACTGGCCTCCAACTCTCGGCTATCCTCCTGCCTCAGCCTCCTGAGGGCTGCGTTACAGGCGTGCATCACCATGCCTGGGTGTTATCTCAGTTTCGAAGATGTGGAAACTGGGAGCAGACAGGTAAGGAACTTCTTCAAGCTTTCACAGCTTGTACAAGACTAAGCCGGGGTTAGAACCCAGGCAGCCTGACTCCGAAGCTGCATGCTTGGCTCGTGTCGTGGGTTTTGCCCCTGGGCTCACCGACCTCCCAGTGGTACCATCGGGTGGGTGGGGGGGTCCCCGACAAAGAAGTGGACGTGACAGAGAGCCGCTGTGGTGGGGTTACCGCCGGGGACACTGGAGGAGCAGAGTCCTCAGCACAAGGGCGACCTGGGCTGGTTCCGCCCATGACAATCAGGCATCAGATGCAAGTCCTAGCCAGGTCCAGAGTGAAGTTGCCCTGTGGACTCCGGAGGCCGAGGGAGGAGGATTATTGAGCCAGCTTGTGCTGCTTAGCTCTTGCATCAAAAATAAATTATATATATGAATATATATACCTTGAACTCACTATGTACCCCACGCTCCTGCCCCAGCTCTCTGAGATCCTCCTGCCTCAGCCCCCCGAATGCTGGGATTACGGGTGTGTGCCACCACGCCCGGCTCAAAAAACAATTTTTTTTTTTTAAATGGGGATATAGTTCAGCAGTAGAGTGCTTGCCTAGCATGCACAGGCCCTGAGCTCAGTCAGTCCCCAGCATCAGGGACAAACAAGAGGATGACGGGCTAACTCTTTGGAATGGAATTAAAGACAGAACGAGCTGGTGTGGCTCTGTTCCGCTCCGGGCAGCAGCTGGGCGGTGCTTGGGGCGGAGTCCAGGTCTGCAGGGGCGGAGTCCAGGTCTGCAGGGGCGGAGTCCAGGTCTGCAGGGGCAGCCAGGGAGCATGGCTGCTGCTGGGAGCCCGGTCAGGCACGGTGGTGATGGTGTCGGAGGCGGAGACTGAGCCAGGGAGAAGCCTGACCAGCTGACCCTCAGGGACTTCCCTTTTTCTTTCTTCCTTTCTCATTTTGGGTTTGTTTTCTAGACAAGATATGCAGCACAGGCTGGCCTCGAGCTCCCAGCGATCCTACTGTCTCAGCCTCCCGATGACTGTTGTGCGAAGCCTTTTTCTTTCTCCCTTTTATCTTCTTTTTGGTCCTCAAGGACGGCTTTTTTCTCTGATCAGGACAGTCAGCTCCCAAGCCCCATGGCCTCTGCCCACCTCCAGCTTCTGCACACCCCCGGGAGTGCAGTCCTCAGTCCCCTAGCATCCCTCGGCCTTTGCCACACCCTCCGGGTCAGAGCTGCGCCCCAAGTGCCTGCTGGCTCCACTGCAAAGGGTTTTGTGCTGAATTCAGCGCCGAGCCTACCTGTGATCCCAGCACTCAGGAGGCTGAGGCAGGAGGATCTCCGCAAGTTTGAGGCCAGCCTGGGCTACATAGTGAGTTCAATGCCAAGCTGAACTGCATAGTGAGACCCTGTCTCAAAAACCAAACCAAACCAACAAACAAAAAAACAAACTGAAAAATCATCAGCTCCAGCTTCTTGCTGGGTGGAGCTGGCTTCCAGTTTCTCTACTGCTGTCTGTCTAGTGCTGCTTTTTTTTTTTTTTTTTTTGGTATCAGGGATCGAACTCAGGACCTTGTGCTTGCGAGGCAGGCAGAACCACTGAGCTAAGTCCCCAGCCCCTGTCTAGTGCTGCTTTAAAGGCCTGGGTCAGTGGTCTCGATGATTCCTCAGCTCCTCTCTCTCTCTCTCTCTCTCTCTCTCTGTGTGTATGGTTTATTTTTTGAGGCAGGCGCCGGAACCACTGAGCTAAAGGGAAAGGTCTTTCGGTGATGCTCCTGCCTCAGCCTCCCGAGTGCTGGCTGGACCCCCTCAGAGCACTGGCAGCCAGCCCTTGTGAGGGAGGGCGTTTCTGTCTGCCTAAGGAATGAGCAGACACCTGGCTCAGGCATGAAGGAAATGTACCAGCCCGGCTGGCTGGGTCAGGTTTCGGGCATCACTGGGCCAGGCTGCTGTGCCAGGCCTGTCTTGTGTCGCAGTCTGCCCCCCTGCCCCTTTTTTGGTTTTTTGAGGCAGGGTCTCACCATGCAGTCCAGGCTGGCCTTGAACTCACTGTGGAGCCCAGGCTGGCCTCACTCATGGTGATCTTCCTGCCTCAGCCCCCCGAGTTCGGGCACTGCAGACTTGAGCACTGCTTGCTGCTCACAGGAGCTGACTTTCTCCCTGCACAAAGGGGTTCAGGGGCCCAGGGCGCCCCGGGGTCATCCATCCCCTGTCAACGTCAGGCCCCCTGGGGAAGAATGCGGTCAGGCCCCCTGGGGAAGAATGCGGTCCTGGCCAGCACACGGTGACCCACCTTTCCCTGTAACACACACAGCCTCCCCCGGGGCCCCTGGCTTCACCTCCCATTGGCAGCAGAGCTCCGCTGCCCTTTGTGCAGCAGCTGCTGTGACTCATGGCCTGGTGGCCTCGGGGACAAGGTGTGCCAGTCTAGCGGTGCAGGCTGCCTGCAGTCGACCTCCCACCTCCCCTCCTCTCGACTGCAGTTTGCTATTCTGCAGGTCTTGGTATTTTTGAGACAAGGTCTCGCTGTGTAGCCCAGGCTGGCCTGGAACTCACATCAACGCGCCTGCCTCAGCCTCCCGCGTGCTGGGATCACAGTTGTGCGCCACCACGCAGTCTTCCTCCTCCCCACTGTCCTCCCTTGAGCCCAGCCAGAGCTCCTTCAGTGGAGAGAGGGGAGAGGATGCTTTCTTCTCAAACTGCTGTTTCCTGTCCTAAGTTTTCCCAGAGCCAGGGATTTAGCTCAGTGGTGCCGCCTCCTGCCTCGCAAGCCCAAGGTCCCGAGTTCGATCCCCAGTAGGTACCAAAAAAAAATTCTTTCCCTATTGCTGGGCACATTGGTGCATGCCTGACTCTGACACTGGGGAGACTGAGGTAGGAGACCACCTTTCCATAAATTCCAAGCACAAGCATCACTTGGAAGTGTAGCCAACACTGAGTAAAAGGCCACTTGCTAACGCCACTGGCCCCAGTGGAAGCAGGGTGAATTCGGGGTTGCAGGCAAGAGAAGGGGTGCCCTTGGCCTCGGTGTGGGGCCCCGGGTGTTGACAGCAGCTTCACCTCCGCCGCCCCCCCACCCCGCCCCGCCCTGACTCCCTTTCCTGCCTACTCCTCGAAGGACTTGTGAGCGGCTGGGTTGTAAGGCTTGCAGTGCTTTTGGGAAACTGGTTATGGATGTGTATCCAATTTGTGTGAATTGACTACAAATGTACACTAAATCTGTACAGACGTGAACTCACTTTTGGGAGTATTGGACAATTGCATAGTAGGGCACAAATTGATAACCCAGGTGTCATGCATAAGCAAGCAAAGAAAAATTCTAATTGTGATTCTGAAAGAACTTCAAGTTACCCATCACTGTTAAAATTTCAATTCTCTTAATACACACACATGCACGCACATATATATTGGTACTAGGGATCAAACTTGGGACCTTGTGCTTTCAAGGCAGGCGCTGGAAACACTGAGCTAAATCCCTGGCCCCAAACATTTCTGGCCCAGGCTGTCCTCAAACTTGCATTGATCCTCCTGCCTCAGCCTCCTGAGATGACAGGTGTGCCCCGCTGCATCCAACTGTTCTTAATATTTAGAAAAAATCAATGCAAGTGTGTTTCCAGACACAGCATTTCGGGAGTAGCCTGGAATCTAAAATTCCTTGGTGAAATCTGGCTCACATTTAAGACTGAAATTTCTATACCCCTAACTTACATGCCCACTGTGTCCATAACTTATTAAGTCAAGCAACCATCAGCATTCACAATTCCTTTAAATGCTCAGTTTTCTTTTAGTGCAGATTTAGAAATAATTCTTACCAGAATGGCTTGGTTTAACTAGTTATTAACAGTGTTTACAGGTGTGGCAAATTACTAGTAAGATCAAGATTTAAATAAATCTCCAAACAGTTATACAAAAAAGGAAAAAAAACCACTTTATTTTCCACAAGGAAGAGCGATAGGAAAAAGTAAATCATTTCCCACATATTGTTTTCTTAAAACAGAGCCTACAAGGACATACATATTCAGCACCAAATAAAAAAAAAAAAACCAGAAAGAGAAGTTACAAACAGCCATAGTATATAATCTGGAAAGCAGACATTCAATATTGCACTTTGTTTTGCTAGTATTTTGGATTTGACTTTTCCTAATTGAAAAATCAGGAAATCTTGAATATGGAATACAACTGTGAACCTCACACCTTGTATCCGGAACTGACCAATATATAGAAAAGGTAATGCCTCTAAATGAGTAAAGAAATACTTTAATGGGGAAAATAAAACTTTATTTGATAAAGTTTCCTAACTCCGTGTCACTCTGGGCCAGAGCCAGGGATGGGATGGGGTGTGCTGTGTGCCACACTACACACACAACATTGTTCCCTACTTGGTCAGACAGGGACAGGAGGGGCTCCGACGACCCCGAGAAGAAAAATCCACCAAATGCCCTGTTGCACAAAATTCCACTAGCTTCTCTTGAGGGGCGACATTCACAAAATGATTTAGGAATAAAATAAATGTTTCACCCCCATTTCCTTTTTCTCTGGTGCGAGTCTGCTAGGGCACCCAAACCCTTTAACAAGATTCACTTTTATGCTGGACTTGCTTCATCCTGTCAGCACTGCGTTCAACATGAACTGTCATCATGTTTCTCAAAGGCCGCTTATGGAAAAGCCTAGGTTTTGTGGGAAGCGGGAAGACAGCGTGGACCCCTGCTCTTCAGCCTCAGGCAGAGCGTCCACAGCGACCCGCCACAGCCAAGACGCCGAGTTTCGTGAGAAATACCGGAGCGGAATTCCTTCTTCAAAAACACAAGAGGGCCAGGGATTTAGCTCAGTGGTTTGCCGCCCGCTGCGCGTGCAAGGACCTGAGTCCAATCCCTGGTACAAAAAAAAAAAAAACAAAAAAAAACCAAACCAAAGAAAAGAAGTACACATGGAACCTCACAAACTGCAGCTGTTTTCACGAATGCTGGCACATCATGGTCCAACTGTACATTTTCTTGGAAATAAACTATGATTTGCCAATGTCACCCCTTTAGTATTTTAACAATCTATTCTTAGAACCAGAGCTGCTTATTTAGCAAGTTATAAAAAATAATTTCCATTAAAAAACCCAAAAATACCCGGCAACGGCGCAGCAGACCCTGCGGTGAGTGGGGTGTGCGTCTCCCGCGAAGCCCCAGCGGGTGGCCAGGTCCCAGCACTCAGTGGTCACTGCCACCTCGGTGTGTGCCCCATCTCCAAGTTTCCCCTCTCTGAAAAGCCAACCAAATCAACAAATAACAGAAAAAGGAAAAAACAAAAGAAATGAACAGTGCAAGGAAACACAGAGCATTCCGATGTTTGGCAAGTGACGCGTTCACCTGAGATCAGTGACTCGGGCAGGGTGGCGCTGCTCACTGTGCAGCTGGAGGCCACGCCTCACACGGGACAGACAGGCGGCCGCCCGCTGTGGCCTCTCCGTCCCCTCCGCTCCCCCGTGAAGCCGGGATCTGCGCTGGAGGGGACATGGCCGCCCGGAGACGCCCGCTGCCACCCAGGGTCATGCTCCGCTGAATGGGAACAAAGCTGCAGTGACATCGAACCGCACAGGGAAGCGTCGAGCGTGTGCAAAATTCAACTCAAAGAAGGAGCCGGTGGGCGCCTCCTGCCTCGAGGTCCCAGCCGCTGTCGCTGCGTCCTCCGGGCTGGGGCAGCCACTAGCCCCAAGCCACCTCACGTCTCCAAGGCCTCTTCGTCCTCGGCCGCAAGGGCCACAGTTCGGAACTGCACAGCCCATGGGCCCTCAGCGGGACGGGCAGGAGGGCCTGTCATTGGTCGCTGGCTCCGGGTTTGGGTCCACCTGTGGGGAACCACACGGGGTCAGTGTGCCCACTGCCTGGTGCCTGTGCCCCGCTCCTCTTGGGAGAGGGCACCACCTCTCCACGCAAGAGTGACTTGGCTTCTCCCTGGGGCCCAGCGCCCTGCCCCTGTCCCCGGCCTGGCCCACACCTCCCAGCAGCGTCTCTTCCTGTGACCCCACGCTTCAGGGCCAGGAAAATGGATCTGAAGGAAACAGGGAAAGGACTTCCAGTGACTCAGGCCTGAGCCTACTCGAACGTGTTGAGAATGTTAAATGATCTAAGTTCATCCCGAAGAGGGACTCAGAGGGTGCTGAACATGGAGTCCCCTGGAGACAGGAACCTCCAATCAGGGCAAAAGTGACAACCGACGGCAGCATGCTCTGGGAGAGGTGGTGCAGGCCTGGGAGCCAGCACTCTGGAGGTCAAGGCAGGAGGATTACCAGTTCAAGCCCAATTGGGGAAACTCAGCGAGACCCTCTTTCACAATAAAAAATTTAAAAATAAGGAAAGGGTTGGGGACATATCAGGAAGGCTCTGGGTTTAACCCATGCACGGCAAATAAAGATCAGGTATTATTACATCACATCGAAACACAACAACGACAAAAAACAAAACCCAAAACCAGCGTAAGAACAAAACCTTAGCTCTTCCTAGCAATAAAGCCAGGCATGGTGGTGCACACTTGTGATCCCAGCACTCCTGAGGCTGAGGCAGGAGAATCACTGTGAGTTCAAGGTTGGCTTGAACTGCACAGCAGACCCTGTCTCAAAAAAACCACAAAAAAAAGGACCAAAAGAAAAGCAGCGCAGCCAAGCCAAGCCAAGCCAAGCCACTTGAAGAGCAAAACCAGTTCCCTTCTTGGCCAAGTGAACTATGGAATACCGTACTGCAAAACAGTGTAAACCACAATAACCCAAAGAACAAGCTGGAACCTGGGACCTGCAAAACCACGTTGCTTTAGGCCAACTTCAAAGGTCCTCAGAACATGCATCTCAGCCTGGGTCTTTGTGAAAACCCTGAACAGCTACATCTGCCCACTCCTGCCCGCATCTGCTGTCCTTCCGGCTGGGAGGACATGCACTCCTCAGGGTTCTCAGAGGCTGCTCTGCTCTCCACGGAGCCGCGCTCTGGGCACTGCTGACCTAAGCCTTTGTCTGAGTTGTACTCTTCATTCCCAAGAGCAAGCAGGCAAAGCCCATCCTATAAGCATCCAGCTGCCTGAGATGAGGAATAAAAATAGTCCAACAGTGCACGAATGCTGCTTAAGAAGGTGTCTGGAAGTATACTATTTCCCCTGATGAGTTAAGAATGTTAAAACATCCAAAAATTAAACTGCAGGCTAAGGCTGTAGCTCAGTGGCACTGCGCCTGGCCTGGCAAGTGCAAGGTCCTCAGTTCGATCCACAGTACCACAAAAAAACCCACAAAACTTCAGAAGGATCACATGTAAGATAAGTTCTTGATTCAACATGAAATTAGGCCATTAACTTCATTTCTACAGTAACAAGTGACAGCCTTCCTTCAGTGACGAACTTAAGTCAACCTGACACTCTGAACTGAAACTGAAGTAGCTGTTCTAAATTACTTCATTCATTTGCTTCTTTGAGACAGGGTCTCGCTGTGACATCCAGGCTGGCCGCATGGCCCCGCAGCCCCTGCTCTTCCCAGGACACCAGGGCCTCACTGAGTCCCTAACAGGTCTTCAGTGCCTGAGCCACCAGTGCTCACCTCTGAGTAGAGTGGCGGGGGCAGGAAGCGGAACTCCTGGATGTAGGCGAACAGTGGGCCCTGCAGCGCACGCTCGAAGTCCTCGCAGGTGCTGCTGGGTACCAGGTTGCTGCGCCGCTGCTCCTCAGTGACCACGTCTGCATAGCTGGGCGGTGCTGCAGGAACAGGAGCCAGGATTCAAACATGATTTACATGAGGGGCGGAACCCTAAATTAGCTCGAGGGCACATCTATTCTGGGTAGGCAGAGAAAACCAGCTAGGGCTGCGGAACAAAAGCAGGAGGTTCTAAACACCACAAGAACAAGAGGACGCAGGTGTGGGTGGACACGACCGGCGCATTACCTTCGGGCCGCTCTGGGAGGGTCAGGCCAAGCCAGTTCATGTTCATGCTGCACTGGCTGCTCACGCTGGAGGTACGGCTGCCGAACGGGTGCAGGGGGATGGTGCCGATGACAAGCGGCAGGTTCAGGAACAAGTCCATGGCGCCGGGAATATCCACGTATACCTGCGCGATGGAGGGCACCTCCGGTGAGAGGCCAGGCGCTTTCCTTTCTCTTGCTATTTATTTAGGTATTTGAGACAGGGCCTCGCTATGTAGTTCAGGCTGGCCTCGAACTCAGTAATCCTCCTGCCTCAGCCTCCCCAGTGGTGGGATTACAGGCATGTGACACCACGCCTAGCTATGATTTTTCTTTTTAAAAACAATAAATTTCCAGGCCAGGGATTTAGCTCAGTGGTTCTGCTCCTTGCCTCGAAAGCATAAGGTCCTGAGTCCGATCCCCGGTACCAAAAAAACCCCCCAAACCCCCCAATTTCCATGCTTGTTGATCCCCACTTGCTTTATGCTTTTGCTTATATGCACGAGAAGTTTCTCACACCCAATACTGTACCCGATGCTTGTCCATAAGGTAAGTTAGTATATTACACTCTAAACGGTGAGATTATCACGTGCAACTTCTCCCAACACCGGGGACGACTGTATCTGAGTCACCCAGGGTGAGAGCGGAACGGCACCTTCCACCTGAGCCCTGGCTGCCCGTGATTGTCCCCGAGCCCGCTGGCCACGCACCATGAGCGCATACTCCACGCGGATGATGCTGCAGTCCAGGATAGAGGGTGACACGGGCGGAATCTTGAGTGGCCGGCCGTCCCACGTCTCGGTCTTCCCAGATGACAGCGACTCCCCACGCAGGTTGGCCACCAGCTGCTTGACCTCCTTCATCTTGCCCTTGGCATAGAAGGCCTGTGTCTGGTAGACAGCGGCCTTGGGCACCACCATGCGCGACGAGCAGTTCTCTATCTCCGCAAAGATCTGGATGGACTCGCCTGGGGAGGGGCTTCCGGTTAGACCGTGGAGCTCAGGTGGGCAGGCCCCGACCACATGGAGGACTGTGGGCCATCAGGGGAGCCAGGCACTCACAGGGCCAGGGGCTGAGCTAAGAGGGCCCAAACTACCCTCAATCTGTGCAAGCAAACTAGGTAAGCACAGTTTACAGTACCTTACCAAGGACTACTTACTACTGTGGTTGTATTTGACAGGCAGCCTACATTTATACACAAAAGCAAAGTGATAAAAGACTTGGTTTTTTTGAGACAGGGTTGATTGGTCAATGTAATGCAGGCTGGCCTTGAATTTCAGAGTGATCTGCCTGCCTCAGCCTGAGTGCTGGGATCACAGGTGTGCACCACCAGGCCCAATCGAGAAGGACTTTGTGGGGAGAGCAGTCTTAGACGTACCTGGGGTGTAGCCCTTCCTCTCGATTTTGGCGCTTAAGGATATTGGGCCTGAGGTACAGAACCAGCAACACAGGGTCTTTTCCTTTGTGCCTGCTTGGGGTGACTGTAACGAAGAAAGAGAAAGTGATCAGTGTACGAATTGGTAAAATACAACAATATTTTTTAAAGTTTTTAATACTCGAATATTTTAAAATAGTAGTCTAAATTCTTGGAAAATGTACAAATAATTGTGTTGCTTTTTTTTTCCTCCCCTGGACCAAAATACTTTTCCTCCCAATGCCTTCTGAGTACCCTTACTTTTGTCTTTAAATAAACTTAGTTTTAATTCACCTAGTTACACAGACAGTAATTAAAAACAAAAAAAACCCTTTCCAAGTTCCATTTAAATTACCTTAAGGGAAGGCAGCACAGGAAGTAGGTTGGTTATAATCTCAAATGTTAACATCTTTCTTGGAGAATGTAAAAACCCATGTTAAAATGGTGTAATTTTAAGGTTCATTCTTACTTGCTTTAAAGATGTTACCATTTGTTTAAACCAAACAGTTTTTGAAGTCAAATTTGAATTAATCTCATAAAATACAATGAAAAGATTCATTTTAATAAAGGAATTAAGTTTTTTCCATGAAAGCAATGATTCCCCATCATTTGACAACTATCCCTAATTGGAATAATGCAAGGCAGTCGACTTTGTGACGTACGCTCAGGTGATGTGACACTGTCTTGCAGTGAGCCACACTTCTGTTCCTCTCCACTAGAACTGGCCAGGAACAGAGCTTTCATTACACAGACATGTTCCGGGCTGGGGCTGTGTCACCCCACATACTGGTCTCACTTTTAAATTTACTTAAAGTCACTGCAGTATCAAAAAATGGGCAGACTCTTCATCGACTTGTGGAGCTCTTGATGATTTAAAAATTGAAGTATTTATGGGACTTAAAAATAAAATCACTACTTCAAAGTTATGAAAATTGAGTAGTTGAGGTGATTTATTCTTTAGTATTCAGATGCCAAAAACAAAGAATGAAGAATTTTAGTCTTTTCTTACCAGTAATGAAGGAGTGTTGATATCTATATGCTCAAAGACTGTAAATTCCTTCTTTAATTTTACTGGTAGAAGCCAAGGCCTGTGCAGTTCGGCTCTCACCCAATAGCGCACACTGCCATGCCGGCCTTCGAATGAGGTAGCAAGTGGTCTGCGTAGAATATAAAGGTCAATACATTAATCCTACCCCCTCTGAGCACGGTGCAGCAGGGCGGAAGTGGTGACAGAGCTACTGCGGGTCACCAGGGAGGAGCAGACATCTGAGTGGGCAAAATTCCCAAAGGGATAAGTCAGTGGGGAAAAAAACTCTTACTTCCAAATAAAATAGATAGCAATAGTTTCATATAGAAAATTTGCTGTAAGAAGCCAGAAGAATACAATCCCTTTAAACTAAGAAGAGGCTACTTTTAATACTTGGTGGCAAAATTATAACTGAATGAACAATTCTTGAAAAGGTCAAGAATTTCATTCAGTAAGAAAGTTAAGAGTGGCTCAACTATTCCTGTCCAGCGATTCTGGACACTGGCGAATGATTCAGACCAAACTGCTGTATTTCTCAGTTAGGAATCGCCACCTCTTTCTATACAAGCGATGAAGGTCTGGAAGAGGCTTAGGATAATTGTTAGTTTCGAACAGCTTACATTTCATAAAGCCCAGGAAACTCTGAAGAAGTGCTTTTACACTTCCCAGTTGATCCATCTTAATTAAATTCCTTGGCTGTGTTTGCCAACTACGACTTAAAAAAAAACAACAAACTCAAAATATTCCTATGACCTATATCAAAAGAATCAGAACTGCTTTTGAACTGTTAGATTTTCAAGATTTACTACTTTCCAAAGGTTTGGTTTTAGTTATGTAGCTCTCTTATTTTCATTAGCAAAATACTCAACATTCAGTTATTTACAAGGTAGAGTGCTAGCTTAGATCGGAGGAGCACAGATTTTGCAAACAATGTTTATTTTGCATTTTAGATTCTCACCGTAACATATATACAGCACAGAGAAATAAAATTCAGTAACTCTGGTTTACAAATAGTTTGTTCAGATATAATACTTAGAAGGAACATTTGTGAACCATATGTACATTAACTCAAGTCCCAGAATTAACAGAACAAATACATAGTTATCTCCATTTGACACATGACAAATTCTACATAATCTTAAATTTATCTTCCAGAACAGTAAGTTCGCAAGTTTTAATATCTGTTGATTAGGATTAGCAAAAGAAGATAGTTTTTATGAACAGACCGACAAGCATTCTTTCTAATGATGCTGTCAGTGTTTACAAAGCGCTCACTCTCACCAGCACCTCCCATTCGCTTGTGTTAAGTGAAATACTACTCATGGCTGGAGACAGGCTTTAGGAAGGGTTCCTAATAATCGAGCTTGCTTTCTGTAATTTTGCCACACTAGATTAAAAAATAGCTTCTTATGTTTAATATATTGTTTTCCTCTAGCAAATTTCTGCAATGAAAAGGGTTTTTTTTTTAAAAAACACAAAAAAACCTAAAGAAAGCCAGTTTCGATTATGTGACTGTGAAAGGCTGCTTTGCCCTGGGTGTGGATCTGCGGCCTGGCTCAAGGGACTTACGTTTGTGGAAGCTCGAAGCTGAACTCGTACTCATGCCTGCCGGAGTGGATGGTGTGGAAGCCGTCTTCGGAATTATCCTCATCTGAGACAGAAAGAGAACAGAAAACCCCTTTAGACGCATGTAGGCTCAGGGCGGGCACCGCCTTAATAAAGGTGCTCGGTAATGGTAATTAACAAGCGCGGCCCAGGCCTGGGACTCTCAGATCTGAGTTCTAATTCCAATTTCCTCACTTCCTCTGGATCACGACCCACAGGCTTTTTTGTCTTTTATGAAAAATGACCCAAAGGAGGAAACGTCCACGTCTAACGTAGCAGTTCATCCTCAACGGGCCACTCGGGTCTCCAGTTAGCACTGCTGCTCGTGAAGTTGTTTCCTTCAATTAAACTACTGAGGGCCCGGGGCTGACTGTCCATGTAAACGTGAAGATATGCCGGTTTCAGGGGACTGACGCTGACATCGTGAGAACACACACGGTACACGGGAGACCACGCGTCACGACGCCAAAACCACTAGAAAGCTTTGGTTAAAAAGGCTGGGAGTTCTAAAAAGAGCAGCGATGTTTTAATATTGGCTTCCTAAAAATACGGAGCGGCCTGGAACAATCCCCAGGTTGCCGTAGCAACAGCGCAGGGCCGCCCCTCCTCTAGGCGGACGCCGGAGGACTCGGCGGCTACGGGCACCGGCCCCCCGGCTTCTTTGCGGACTCGCCCTCTCCTCCCCGGCGGGGAACAGACACTCGCGGACCCAGGGGAATCCCACGCGCGCCCGAGGGGGGCCCCCGGCGGCGTCACCCAACTTTCCCTCGCCAAGCGCCAATGCTGACCGAAACGGACGCGGCGACGGCGGGGGAAGGCTCGCCAGGGTACTTTGGTCCGCGAGCCCGGCCGCCGAGTGAGCGTGGGGGGGGGCTCGGAGCGGGGCGCCCCGAGTTCGCCTCCCGCCCCGCTCCCTTTTTGTGCCAGCTCAGCAGCTCCGCGAAGCGCGCTGCGCGCCCGCCCGCGCCGTGGTAAACAAGTGCCTGGCTGTCAATCAAGAACTAGATCCGAGCAGGAGCGGACCGGCCTAAACCGGCGCAGACAGAACCCAGCCGGCCGCGGCGCGCCACCGCCCGCCCGCGCGCGCGCCCTATACATACGGCATACGTCTGGCCCGCGCACGCGCAGCCCAGCCCGCGGCCCGGGGGCGGGGCGTCGGGGCCGGCGCTTCCTCTTCACACGCCCCAGCCGGCGACCGGTTCTAGCTGGCTCGGGCCACCCGGACACCTTGGCAGGGGCGGCAGGCGGGGACGCGGGGGCGGGAGCGGGGCCGCCGGGAACAATGGGCAAAGGCGGCGACGCCGGCCAGGCCCCCACCCCGAGGACCGCGCGGGAGCCGCCTCGCCCCGCCCTCCCGGCCCTCAGCCGAAGTCCAGGGAGCGCCAGGCCGCGGCGGGACAGGTTGGCAGCCACGCCCTGTCCCCGCCAGACCCCGCGCGTCGCGCACCCAGAGGGCCGAGCCGGCTCCCGGCCAGGTTCCCTGGGAATGCGGCTTCTGGCCAAAGTTGCGCGCCCAGCCGCTCGGCATCCATGAGGCTGGCGCTGCGGCTCCCACTGCGCACTCGGGACCGGGGCCACTTCCCGAGGTGCGGCTCGGGGGACACCGGCGCGCGGGGCTGGGCGGGGGCGGCTGCTCGGGGGACCTCACCGGCGCACGCCGGTTCCGAGCCTCGCCCAGCAGCGCCCGGCGCGTCTCCCCACCCGCCTGGCCCAATCCAATCAGCGCCTGGCATCACCTTAGCAACAGGCTAACAAACCGGGCTCCGCCTATCGCCGGCCGCCGGGGGCGGGGCCTCCGTGACCAGGCTAGTTTGAGAGCTCCCACTTCCAAGTCATTGAAACTATTCCAGGCCGGGCTCTCCACGCGCGGCGGGGCCCTGGGGACGGCTGGAGGGGCTCCGGGCACTTAGTTTTCTTTACCGTGGAATCTGAAGGCAACTAATGAGACGATGTTTGTACCCACAGCTCACTGTTCTACTTTTCCTCCATTTTAAGTCAACTCCCTAAACCCTTTTTTCTGTTCTTGGCTGTTATAAAAGGCTGCAGGTCCAGAAAGCTTCAAGCACAAACTTCCGTGTCTGCTTTTCAGCACAGAGCGGGACTGTCACTGGGCATCTGCATTTCCTACCTAAACGCGTGGAGAGATCGACTAGACATTAGTTCCAGAGGTAACGCGCCTCTGCGTAACTATCAAGATCCTACTAAAGAACTAGTTTCACCTTAATATTCTCAAAAACGATGCTTGAATGCTGTAACTCAAAAGCATCCTTCGTTTGCCTCAGGTCAACGACCACTTGCCTAGAATGTACATTTTTAATATAAAAAAGGAGGTAAAATACATCTCTAGTGCTGAAAAGCCAACATTCAAACTGAATACTGCATTAAAAAGGAGAAGCACAAAAATTACATAACCAGTTTTAACATTATATTCTTCTTGGGCTGGGAATTAAGTCATCCCCACCACCTGACGCGTGCAGCCAATCTGCGCAGAGCACAGCGAGCGCCCCTCCTCACCACCCCCTAGAACTGGTCCGAAACAGGATTGAACCGCTTCTAACAAAGGGTGGAAACTTAGAAAAACAAGCTTAGAGTCGCCTAGATTTCCACAATGTAACCATTTAAACAATAGATGGGCAATCTCAGGACCCCCTCTCCCTCTGACAACCCTGGATCTCCCTCGTAGAAGCCAAAATCAAATCCCGTGTGCCGGGGACTTCGCAGTGCCACCGGACTGCCGCGGGTTTCATTGAACGCACGGTCCAAAGTTACAGGCATGATCCTTACAAAAAAGGGAGACTCCCCCGGGTTGGGTTTTCACACTGACTTCCTAGCTACACTAGTAGTGAGAGGTGCTATCCTTTAAAAATAAAGAAAGCTGGGGGGTAATTTCTAAAGGAACTGGAAATAACAGGGAGCAAACACGTGGGGGTGTTGCTACCATATGTCAAAATAAGCTACAGCAACCTTTTATCAAAAAACAACCGTCGGTGATTTAAAGTCTTTTGCATGGCAGCGTGAAAACCAAATCCATGCCTTAACCTCCCGGAAAATGTTTCCTCGCTGGGTCTGTGTTCAGATCGAAGGTCGGCAAAGTAAAGGGAAAAAATCTAACAGGGGACTGCAGCTTTTAGGGATTCGTGTGAAGCCGCAGGAAATCAGGCTGCATCTCTAAGTGGGGTGCAGATGTCTCGGGGTGCGCGCGGCCCGGACGAGCCGGGAGGCGCAGTGCCTAGCGCTCGCCCCGCGGAGGCTGCAGACCGGGCCAGACCGGGCGGCCGTGCCCCTCCGCCAGCCTGCACTGCCGGCTGCACTCACCTCTCTCCGGCCCGATGAGCGTGTCTTTGTGGTTGAAATACTCGACTTCCTCGGTGTAATTCTGCGTATAGGCAGTGTTGGAGCCGGCGTTTCTCGATTCCGTCCAGCGCACTTTCGCGTGTCCTCTTGCGTGGATCTTCAGAGATTTCACTCGAATTTCCCCGGTAACTTCTAAATTCACCCTTCCTGAGACGGTATCCCCGCTAGAGTACACGGGGACATTGCTGTCATTGAGACAGTCAAAGCTTATCGTCAAACTCTTCACCTTCCCCAGCACCATGATTATAACAAAACCTATAAAAATATAATGTGAGACCAAAAGGGGGGAAAAGTCAAGATCGCATATAAAATGTGATCTTCAGACACTGATCGATGTCTGTGCCGTGCAAGAAGAAAAGAAAATCTTGCAGGCCGGATCAGTGATTCTCTAAATAGTTCATTGAGATTTCTTAGGAAGTCAGGGCAGCCGAGGCTGCCGCCGCCGCTTCCAGCACTCCAGCTAGTCTCAGTGGTCTCCTTACAAAGACGGGCGGCCAGAGCCTGCCAGCTCACTTTAAGAGCAGCTTTGTGAAAAACAACCCCAGTGCGCACGCGCACACCGCGGCTGCGGTCCGCCCTCCCCGCGCGCCCCCTCCGGCGTGCGCGCTCGCTCGCTCGCTCTCGCTCTCTCTCTCCACGGCTGCGCGCGGGCGTGGAAGGTGCGGCGCTACGCGGAGGCGGCGCGCGGGCAGTGGCGAGGCCGGGCTGTCTCCCCTGCGCGGCCTCGGCGCCCTCGGGAGCCCTGGCCGGCCGGGGCCTAGGAAGGGGCCGGGGACGCCGGGCGACAGGGACGGGGGGCGGAGGAGAGCGGCGAGGGGCGCCGCCCAGGGCTGCGAGAGCAGACGCAGTCAAAGCCGGGCGGGCTGCACGGCTGGCGCGCGGCTCGGTACGCAGCACTCCGAAGGGGGGCGCGCCCGGCTGACTCAGTTTACCACAGTCTGCGATCTCCGTCAGAAACGAGCAAGGACGGGGTTTGGTTTCAGTGGGGCTTGGTTCTAAGCAGCTTTCGTTCTACTTTGTTCGAAGACAAGGTCTCGCCGGATAGCCCAGGCTGGCCTTGACCTCGCTCCATATCCCAGTCTGGCCTGGATCTCAACCTCCTAAGAGCTGGGATTAAAGCCACCACACCCGGCTTGTGGAGCTTTATGTTTAATTTTCGGCTGAGAGCCCTGAACTGTTCAACAGTAATTCCCATGTTTGACCCTTAAAGATAGGTACATTTCTTTTTTGTGAATGTTTGTAAAGAACAGCAGTGCCTTCCTCACATCACATTGGGAATTAGCGTTGAGGCTAAACTCATTCAGATTTTTTTGGAAACAGGGTCCTATTATGACTACAGACTGACCTTGAACTCACACGGAGCCCAGGTTGGCCTCAAACTCCTGTAGATACTCCTGCTTCAGCCTTCCGAGTGCTGTGATTTCAGGTGTGCGCCTCCATGCCGGGCTAAACTGATTTAGATTATTGGCAGTCGACAGACCTGCATAAAAATCCAAAAGTACTTTGGAAGACTGTTCATGTTTAAACATTCTTTTGCGCAGTATATTTGGGTAGGTCGAACTATGATCCGCAATAGACTAACCTCATAGGTTTTGCTGTTTTATTTCAAAATACACTGAATTTTATTAGGTTAGATTCTAGTTGACGCGGCATTGGACTCACCAGTACAGCTGGAGTACGAACATGCCGACAATTAGTAGGCTAGCCATTTGCCTCTGAGTTTAGATTGTTGGATTGCTTAAAATTACGCATTTGTGCCTTTGAATGGGAAAAGATGGTCTTCGGCCTCTCGGTTGACATCTAGTGGGAAATCGAGGAAGGGTTCCCCAGGCCTGGCGCCGGCTGTGCGCACGGAGACTGCTTGTGTTTTCTCTCCCCCGTGTGGTGAGCGCGCGTTTGCCAGCGCTCGGCTTTCCTGCCGCGGAGCTCAGGGTGTGGGAGGCGGTCACGTAGCGCCCGCCGGGCGCCCTACGGTGTGAAAGGTACGGGGCGCAGGAGGACCTGACTTCCTTACCAGACACACGCTTCAAATCACGGGGGTCTAGTGGATAACGGCCGAAGTTTTGGTAACATTTTTCAAATTAGAATTTAACTTAGCTCTGAAAGAAGAAATTGGACGTAATAGAAACGAATTCTAATAAACTTATTGGTACTTTGGAAAATTGTTTTAACACAGTGATCACTGTCATTGTGTAAGTTCACTGTTTCTTGTATTTGAAGCTCTTAGGGCCTTAGAAATAATTGCCTTTAGTATTTATTTTGCTAGTTTTGCGTATCGGAGGCTGATCAATCCTTTGCCTAGAAAGGGGCACGGCTAGGGCTAAAGAAGAAAAGACAATAGAGTTCCATAATTTCAAAGCATGGGGGGCTGGGAGGCCTCAGGGTGGGCAAAGACAAAGACACTCCGAGCTGGCCACTATTTATTGGGTTGGTTCATAGGGAGTATCAGATGACTGATAGGGCAGCAATAATCGGGAGTTCACAGTTCACAAGGAGTTTATAATCCGAAGGAGTACCAGATGTCTCAGAGGGCACCGATAATCCTGAGTTCTTATGCTGATGTAATCTTGCCCTTGAGCATCACAACATCAAGGGACCAGAATGGCTCTCAACAGTTTATTTTCATTTTTTTGGTTCTTTTGAGACAGGGTGTTGCTATGTCAGGTTGGCCTTGAACTCGTTATGTAGCTCAGGTTGGCCTCAAACGCACAGCCATCCTTCTGCTTCGGCCTCCCAGCATGTGCCACCACACCTGGCTGTTCATTTGCCTGCCATAAGCAGTGCAGTAACTCGCAAGTCATCAAGCAATTCTTAGTTCCCATCGGTTTCGCTTAGGTCCTCATTTATTTCCTTTCAATCACTTTTCTCTTCAGAGTTGGTTACAGGACTAAGTGTCTGGAGGGTTTCATTTAGTTGATTTTGTTTTCTCCCCCATTTATTCAAACTGAGAACAAGAGAAGCAATTCTGACACCTCTCGATGCCTGTTTATCTTTTCATTTCTTAAGGAAAAGAAATCCTGCTGGGCAAAGTTTGGCCTCCCTTTCTCTCTGGCTTCCAACCACCTCCCGCTGGCTCCCGGTCCGTAGTCGGACTCCAGTCCAGCTGCGGCCCACGCCTCCTCCCAGCTGTCCCTTCCGCCCTGTCACGGCGGCCCTGGGCAGTGCTGGCCTCACCCTGCCTGTCCTTTCCCTCTCTGCCCTTCAGGGTCCCCACAGCAGACGTCCCTCGGCTGAGCTGCGACCTCTACCGGGCTAGTTCTTGGAGCTGGGATCCAAGCCCCACCTTGCCCTATGAAAGTCCGAACTCAAACTCAAGAATTCTGTCAAAAACTGGCCAAAAAAAAAAAAAAAAAAAATATATATATATATATATATTTTCCATATATATTATTTTCCACACACACACACACACACACACACACATATATATATGGAAAAGGAAAAGAAAATAGGTGCTTCAGTGTAGTTCAGTGCCTGTGAACGGGAAGCCCTGGGTTCAGTCACAAGCACCACACATAAGAAAGAGAAACACACACACACGGAGACTGGCAATAGTTATTATCAAGATAGATAAATGAAGTAATGCACCGAAATGACTCCCAGATCTAGGGTTTCACGTGTCGTTTGTGAATATACCGTCTGTTCCTCAGGCATCTTAACCCAAACCGTGGGCGTGTGGTTGTGAGAAAGACTATCATGGACAGTACAGCTGGGCCACAGGCCACTTCCTCACTCCCTGGACCGGGGGACAGCCCAGGCCACCCCCCCCCACCCCCCAGGTGTGCTACAAGGAGGCGGAGATAAGGGCCAACACCCCCCAGCTTGCCCTGGAAAATTCTAGAATCGCAGATCGGGGTGCATGCGCCCCGGACTTCCTTCCTCTGAGATCCTGCAGGGACCGTGCATAGGGCCTGGCTGGCATCGGGTTGTGACAGTGCATTGTGGGAAAGGACAGCTCACGTGACTCAGCGCCTGTCAGTCATGCTCCCGAGGACCCAATGGGAGGCGCCCTGGACAAGGCGCAGCCTGTAGAATCCCTAGGACGGGTGCTGGCAGCTGGCACGGTTTCCTGTCGAGGGTGCGACCCTGCCCACTCTGAGTGCGCAGGGCCCTAGGCAGCTGCTGCCTGTTCCCTACCATCTCGTGTTGGTCACGCACAAGACCCTGGGAACCTGTCCCGGACCCTCATCACCCACAGCAACAAGCAAAACCGTAGCTGTAATTACAATTTATTTCTCAGGAAACACAAAACACACACCTAATCTATATTTTATTGATTCATTTATTTTATTGTTTCTATTTTTATTACCCGTTTGTAGTACATAATGATCACATTGGGTGGGAAGCTGGTCTATAGGCATAACACATCCTAATTCTTTATCCCTGTTCCTTCCCCCTCCCTCAATCTCTTTTTTTTTTTTTTTTGGTACTGGGGATTGAACTTGGGTCCTTAGGGTTGCAAAGCAGGCAGCAGAACCACTGAGCTAGATCCCCAGCCCCCCTCCCTCAATCTCTTGATCCCTTCCTCTTTGAAAAAGATCCACTTCTTTACTTTCTATTAGCTTTATTTTGCTCTTTATTTATACTTTGGATTTCTCATATAAGAGAAACCATGTGCTAGTCAAGCTTCTGTGTCTGATTTATTTCACTTAACGTAAAGTCTCAAAGGACAAAATGTAAACAAAGCTTTTGTACATAGGAAGGGGAGGGGGCTGGAGAGGAGGAATGGGATAAAATTTTTAAAAAGCAGTTGTATCAAAAACATTAACTCTCAAGGTGCATCCATTTTCCTACAAATGACTCAAGTCTATCCTTCTTTATGGCTAAGTAGTACTCCGAAGTGTATAAATACATTTCCTTTATCCATTCATCAATGCGTGAGAAGCATGAGTGCTGGAAAGTTAATTTGGGGTCTTGCTGTTTGTTTTTAAGTCCTAGTTCATGATTTCAAGATTTTGTAAGTCTGAGCTGGACATGATAGAGCATGCCTGTAATCCCAGCACTTGGGAAGCTGAGTCAGGAGGATTGCATCGAGTCAAGGCCACCCTAGGCTACATAGTTTAAGGCCAGCCTGAGCTACGTAGTGAGACCCTGTCTCAAAAATACACAAAAAGATTTTGTAACTCTGATTTAGTCGGGCATGGTGGTGCACACCTGTATTTCCAGCAGTCTGGAGGCTGAGGCAGGGGATTGCTTCAAGTTTGAGGCCAGCCTGGGGTACATAGTGAGTCTAAGGCCAATCTGAACTATATGGTGAGACCCTGTCTCAAAAAACAAAGCCAGGGATTTAGCTCAGTGGTGCCAAAGGTCCTGAGTTCGATCCCCAGTACCATAAATAAATAAATAAATATTTTAAAAAACAACTAACTAAATAAAATTAAATAAAATTTGAAAAAATAAAAACACAGCTCTGATTTAGCTCTTTAACACCAAAATGCAAACAGTTTGACTCCTGTATGGAGCCCAGAGGGAAGATTTGCAATCATATTAGCAAGA